AGGTTGAGGTGTATGCGGGGGTAGGCAAGGTTGAGGTGTATGTGGGGGTAGGCAAAGTTGAGGTGTATGTGGGGGTAGACAAGAATGAGGTGTGTGTGTGGGTAGGCAAGGTTGAGGTGTATGTGGGGGTAGACAAGGTTGAGGTGTATGTGGGGGTAGGCAAGGTTGAGGTGTATGTGGGGGTAGGCAAGGTTGAGGTGCATGTGGGGGTAAGGTTGGTTGAGAAATTAAGTTGATGCCGGGTTAACAAAATTGGGAGGCCTTTGCATCTCTGCGGTAGCTGACGACCGCATCTTTATCTACCTGTAATTGGATTCGATTGTTTCCCCCCCGACAGATATGGGGTTGGTCCAAATGCATATAACGTGGTTGTAAGTGCCAAAGACGGATCATCCACTACAGAATTCACTTTTAAAATCGAAGTAGTAAACACACCCCGACCTCCAACGTTCGAGAAGAAGAAGTACACCTTCACTGTATCGGAAACGGCTGACCCTGGTGCTACAGTACAAAGTATCAAAGCCATTTACAGCAAATCAAACGCTTTCTTGAAGTACACTATCATGGATGGCAACAGAGACAACGCTTTCTGCATCAATGGCGCTGGTACGATATCCGTGGCGCGAACCCTTGATCGAGAGAGAGTGCCAACGTATCTGCTACGGGTGCGCGTTGAATTGGGTAGTAACACAGATGACACATCTGTTTTGATTAATCTGCTGGATATCAATGATGATCCACCTCACTTTACGATGAACTCGTTTATACTTTCTGTTGAGGAAAATACAGGTTAGTGTTCTGAGAAGAATGTTTTACCTTGGGATTGGTGGGGGGGGGGGGGTCATGCTTATTATGCTAATTACAATTAATATAAAAGAAACGAGTATAAATAAATTGAGCATATGGTTTTGGTTTATGGTTTTGCCAGCCGCCATGTTGGATGAATTTAACAAAAGATTCTTCCAAGAGAATATGAACTAAGAGAAGGAATCCTACCTATATAGCCTTGTAACCTTCATGTGCACAGTTTGATGCTATTTTTAGCTTGGAGATACTTTGAGCGAAGAATCTGATTGGTTGATTTCTTGAGGATAGGCGGCTTCTAGTCTTGCAGTAAACAAAAGCCTGTGTTTTTGTCGCTTTTCGTGTCCTAAAACGAGGCATTAAAGGAAGCATGATTATCGCGCGGGCATGGTAACGAGCTAAAAATAGCATCAATGATTCTAAAAATAGCATAAAATTGTGCACATGATGGGGCACGGGGATTCCTTCTCTTCATATTCTCTTGATTCTTCATTAGTCTCTTTTGTTATATCATCCAACATGGCCGCCGTGTCTTTTATTGTTTTATTCTCTTGGGAATGATTGCAAACCAGCAATAACCTGTGAACAGGCTCAGACAGAGGACTGGAGGAGGGAAAGGGAAGGGGGTTGGGGAGGGGGCGATTCCCTGCCTTAGAGCCTTTTCACAGGGTCAGGTACTCGTGATAAATTACGTATACTTAACTAACATTTCGAACGTTGTTCCTTCGAACTCACAAATAGTCTATTGTGAGATTTATCATGCTAGGCATACTACGTCATGCTATGGAACCATGCATCACGATTCTAATATTTCAATGTTCACTTCTTTCAGTTAAACCATTGAGACCCATCGCATCTGCGACCGACCGTGACTCCGACAAGAACGGCGAGCTTTCCTACGAAATACTGCAGAGCGTAGAAACAGACAGTAAAAGTATGTTCAAAATTAATGCCAAAACTGGAGAGCTTTCGCTTGCAAAGACATTGGACTACGAGAAAGCAAAAGAGCATATCTTGTTTATTAGAGCTCAGGACAACGGATCGCCAAGATACAGCTGTAAGTTTTTTTGCATCATCATCATCATCATCACCACCACCATCACAACCACCACCACCACGATCATCATCATCACCATCGGCATCATCATCACCACCACCACCATCATCATCATCATCATCAACATCATCATCATCACCACACATCACCTACAAGTACTAGCTGTCTGAAATAACCATACAGCCATTTTACGTGATACATTCTACTAAATTAAATCATACAGCTATTTTATATAATGAGCTCTAATTACTTAATCATGCTTTTATTTTATTATTTTATTTTAGCTATTGCAAGAATAACCATTAACGTTCTAGACCAGAATGACGAGTTCCCGGTCTTCGCATCCTCTTTGTATCGAGGTAAAGTAGCTCTCGACGCAAATATCGGTACAAGTGTAATCCAAGTGCGGGCATCAGATCTTGATAGCTCCTCCAACGGAGAAATCCAATACTCCTTGATCCAGGGCAACGAGGAAGAAGGCTTTCAAATCAACACCCAAGGAGTGATTTCTGTCAAGAAACCCCTTACCACTGTTCAGGAGGAAAAGTTTAAAATCAGAGTAGAAGCGGCGGATAAAGGCAAGGTGCCCAAAAAAGGATACACGGACGTAGAAATTAACATCTTCCTTCCCGATGGTCCGCCGAAGTTTGTCGTTTCTCCGGTCATTGTTAATGTTACCGAAGGTGTTCCGGGTAACAGCCGAGTGGCTGGTGTGAAAGCCGCGACGTCGGAAGCGTTGACGTATACGATTATCGGTGGGAATGAAGATGGCATGTTCACGATCAATCCTTCCACAGGTGAGATGTCTGTATATCCTTGTATATAATCGTTTTTTTTTTAGAGTCATTCCATGTAATATTCAACGAGGCACTTGTATACACAGGTCTTCAGGCGAGGGTCTTTACTAAGAAAATACGAGTGGCAAGTGGATTTTTCCTGCTGTGCTATGAGGAAGCATTGTATAACGTTTTTCATCTCACTACCATACCTATAGGTATTTTACTCAAAACACCGTCAGGCCTGATTGTAATGAATGGTGGGACACCGTCGAATATATGAAAGCTTTGCTGCATTCTGATTGACTGTATTATCAATAGTATCTTCTGTTTATGCGCCGTGACCGTGCTTTGTTCCAAGACCTTTCTCATTTTTGCGTGTTGTCCTCCAAAATTGCTTGCTAACCTTTTCATCATTTTTTCCAGGTCAATTGGACGCAACTCGTGTCTTGGACTACGAAGAAAAGCAACGACACGAAGTTCAGATCGAAGCGCGTGACACCCGTGACCGAAGCGCGGCTGTCACGCTAATCATCAACGTCATCAACATCAATGACAACAAACCTACTTTCCCCGGTGAAGAAGGTGGACAAATTGATCGTAAAGCTATTGGTATTTGCGATCCTACAGACATTGATACCGGCCGAGTAGTGACCCGTCTTGGTGCCACAGATAAAGACAAAGGAGACAAAATCACATACGAGYTTGATTCTGAGGGAAATAAATACTTTGAAGTCGATCCGAATGGTGTATTGAGAGCCAAACAACCGTTAGACAGCCTCCCCTCGCCTTACAAGTTCCGTGTCAAGGCTAAGGACGATGGCAAACCACCTCAAGAAAATGATGTCAATGTAAGGTTAGTCTTTCTTCACTATCCTCCTGATCAAGACCCCGTTCGCGTCAAAGTACCCGAAGATACGAAAGTTGGCAGCGTTATCGCTAAAGCTCCTTTGTACTTTCCCAACGGAACGATTCAGTTACTCTTTCCCGAGAAAGCCAACTTCAGTATTAGGAATAACGGAGATGTCATCCTTCTGACACCCTTGGATTACGAGACCAAACGATACCACTCGATAACTGTTCGTGAGAAAGATTCGACCGGCAAGATGACCAACGATGTTGACGTTGAAATCACTGTATTAGACGTGAACGACAATCGTCCAATTTTCATCAAGAAATCAAGGATCGGTACCGTCAATACGAACTCTCGCGCAGGCGCAACTGTATACCAGCTGAATGCAGAAGACAAAGATGGAGGATCAAGCGGATTGGTTGGGTATCAACTCGAAGCCCCCGGGGACAACAGACGGCGCAAACGTCGTTCTCTCCCACAGTCGCCATTTACCATCAATCCTAGGACTAAACAACTTGAAGTGGCGGGCCCATTAGATGACAAGCGCTATAAAATGCCGGTCTATGCCTTTGATTATGGGATCCCAAGGCTCAATAGTGATACCATCAATCTGAACATTGATGCTTCAGAGGCTGGTCAACTTGCTCCAAGGTTTACTCAAGTGAGCTACCACTTCAACGTCTCTGAAGACGCTGGGTATTTGCATCTCGTTGGTACTGTTAAGGCTCGCAGTATTTCAGGAGCTCGCCTGGACTATAGCATTATCAGCGGAAACCCAGGCGATAAATTCAAGGCGTTAGAAAACGGTAACATCGTTGTGAATTCACTTCTCAACTTGCAAGATCACCCAGCTCTTTTTAACCTAAAAGTAAAAGCCATGGAACAGATTCCTAATGGATTGGCATCTATCGTTGATGTTCGTATTGACGTTATTGACGCCAACGATCATGTGCCTTACTTTGACCAAATGCTTTATTCCATTGGCACCGCAGAAAGTGCGGGGGTCGGTAAGCTCGTGCACACGGTCAAAGCACATGACTGTGACTGTGTTCCGGACTGTAACTGCCCTTCTGGCTTCCTCCAGTATTCCATCGAACCATCCAAGGACGACGGGGGAAAGTTTTTCATTGACAAGGACAGCGGACAAATATCCGTCAGCAGTGCCCTTGATTACGAGGACAAACGAATCCACATGTTGAAGGTGACGGCATCAGACACTGGAAAGAAGGTTTTTAAAGGGATATGTTTCGTTAATGTCACCGTTACCAACGTTAATGACAATATTCCGATCTTTTCGCAAATCGCGTATGATTTTACGATAGGAGAGAAAGCCGAACCCAATATTCCTCTTGCTGTTGTACTCGCTACCGACGCTGATGGCGATCCCGTGACTTATACCAAACTGAGTGGAAGTGCCTCCTTTAATGTGGATCGAAGTACCGGTGTTATTACGCTAAAGCAAAAAATTACTTCATCAAAAACCCAACACTTAATGCAGGTAAATATCAATATTTAAAACACCTTCAAATGTCATCGATTCCCTAAAGAAACAAACTTTTGGCTAATCGAAGTCAAGCTAAAGTAACTTAAAAATCGATATAGAATTCAGCGTCGGTTAGCTCGGCTACGCCTCGTGGTTTTAAACCCGATAAAGCACTCCTGCTCGTTTATTGAATAGTACATACGCACGCATACATATAATAATTAAGAAAAAATATGATTGAATTATTCTACTACACCCCAACTATCCATTCACCCAAAGACCCACCCATCCCCATTTAAGAATAAATATAAACAAATTATAAGTTAAGAGTAAATTAAGAAATAGGGAAACAATCTAGCCCTACATGAGATTCCTTAAGGGAATTTACATAATTTTGTTTAAATAATTTAACATTTTGGCTGGATCTAATAGAAATAGGGAGTTTGTTCCACTCTCTCACTGCCGTCACTGTAAATGTCTTGGGCATCTCAGCCTTGACTGCCTTACAGAAATATCACTAATGCGTGTAAACCTGTTTGACATATATTCAGGGGAATGACCATTGAGGCATTTAAACACTGGGCTTAATTTGTTTGCATTGATTTCATGATAAAAAGGTATCCATCCTAGTTTCTTGAAAAGCGTGATTGTACTCTTGATTAGTATATATCAAACTCTACTCATATGTGATGACGAGTCTAGGAATCAAACCAGAAACTCATACATACATACATACATACATACATACATA